GACTGCCTTCGGCTCAGGTCATGATCCTGGAGTCCCGGGATCGAGTCCCGCATCGGGCTCCCCGCTTGGCAGGGAGCCTGCTTCTCCCTCTGACCCTCCTCCCTCTCATGTGCTCTCTCTCTCTCATTCGCTCTCTCAAAATAAATTAATAAATAAATCTTTAAAAAAAAAAGAATACATGATCTGTATTTTATTATCTTTCAGAATTGTCTTCCTTCTTTATTTTGATCTGCCACAAATAACTTTAAAAGGTAGTTTAGCATTTAACAGTCCTGTAGTCTCATCCATTCCTGCTAGTCAAGAACCATAAATGAAGGTCACATATCTGTAAACAAAGCACGCATTTCCTACTTGGGAATAACTGGTTTAAAGATCAGCATAGCAGGCTCAAGTGACTGCGTTGGCCAAGCATTTTATTTTGATTAATGGTTAACTAGCTCAATGTTCTGCTCATATTAGAAGTAACTCTTGTTTATTCTCTCTTGGATTTAGAAGGTCTAAACAATTTTACTCACAGTATCTGCATATTTGATAATTCTCTGTTCCATTATTTCAACATTTTGGTGAAATAGTAATTTATGAGTATTACCAGCTATATATTACCTGAATAGGAAAGAAATATTGACCTACAGAACCAAGAGCTGACAGAGAAAATTAAATGTTGAAACAGATTTTATATAATTTTATTTCAAAATGCTAAAAGCCTTGAATTCTATGACATGAAAAAAAACCCCACATTGTTACACAGTAAAGCCAATTTGGCAACCACATTTCTTTTTCTTCTTTTTTTAAATGTTTATTTTTTTAAAAGATTTTTTATTTATTTATTTGACAGAGAGAGACACAGTGAGAGAGGGAACACAAGCAGGGGGAGTGGGAGAGGGAGAAGCAGGCTCCCTGCAGGGCTTGATCCCAGGACCCAGATCACGACCCGAGACCCGAGCCGAAGGCACTTAACTGACTAAGCCACCCAGGTGCCCTCTTTTACTTTTATTTAGAGAGGGGTGGAGGGGAGGGGCAGGAGGGGGAGAGAGAATCTTTTTTAAAAATTTTATTTATTTATTTATTTACTTATTTATCTGACAGAGAGAGCACAAGCAGGGGGAGTGGCAGGCAGAGGGAGAAGCAGGCTCCCCGCTAAGCAGGGAGCCCAACGTGGGGCTCCATTTCACAACCCTGAGATAGTGACCTGGGCCAAAATCAAGAGTCAGACACTCAACTGACTAAGCCACCGGGTGCCCCACAACCACATTTCTTAAAACACCAATGTAAAACTTATAAATGCTAATTGTGTTCTGATCAGTATCTAGCCACAGAGGAAATAACCTATATCCTAAGTAAGCCCTCTTGGGTTGCACTTCTTAGTTATTCTATATAATCAGGTGCAAGTCTTCTGACTTCTGTTTTTAGAAATAATAGACTGTTATGGGATCACTCACAATTCTTTGTCCAGAGGTCTCTAAGCAGCTACCTATTTCTAACCAAAAGAGGAGGAATAACCTCAAGTAAGCTATCGCTACAAAGTTACAGGTAAGTCATTCCAGTCTTTAGTTGTCATGAGATACAGCCAGCATTATGTCAAACTCAGTAAGAGAAGTTACATTTCTCTGGATTAGACATTTATTTAGTACCTACAAATACCAGTACTAAAAACACTACCAAACTTTCAGCCAGCTTTAAAATATCAGTGAAATTAACACAAATAGGTGTTTTAAATAAAAATTATTTTATGACATTTTACACATGATGGAGAATAACAAAAACCCCTTTAAAATTTAAGTAATAAAAAAGGAAAACTATATAGATGTGCATTGTTAATGGCTCACATTCTATGTTATGTTCAACAATACATGAGGTTTGAGTTTCCACCTTATAACAAGAACAAATTACACAGCTAGAATGGGAGATATTTTCCAATGCTCAAAAACCAAATAGGGTGGGGCGCCTGGGTGGCTCAGTCGTTAAGCGTCTGCCTTCGGCTCAGGTCATGATCTCAGGGTCCTGGGATCGAGCCCTACATTGGGCTCCCTGCTCAACGGGGAGCCTGCTTCTCCCTCTCCAACTCCCCCTGCTTGTGTTCCCTCGCTTGCTGTCTCTGTCAAATAAATAAATAAAATCTTAAAAAAAAACAAAAACAAACAGGGCTCATACTACATAGCTATTTCACTTTTCTAGGTGTCTTGGAGTCAGCTTGTTATAAATGCAAAGATGTCCTCTGAAAAGAAGTGGATGGATAAGAGATAATTTGTTACGCCACTATGCTACGCTACTAGGAAATTTAAATAGCACGTGCCTATTTGATTAAGGAATTACCATTCATTTTTAAAACCAAAGAGGGGAACTGAGGCTCATGTCTTCAACTCTTCTTTGACACTTGGTGGTCATCAGCGGCAGCGAGAAGCAGACAGTAAGTCAAATGTGATTCAAGTGGGGCTGCAACCACTGTGTACCAATATTTAATGAACATTTACAATATCTACATATCATAAAACAAAAGCCACGCCATAAAATCCTGAGACAGTTCTTTCTTCAAAATGCTAAAGGTGATCTCACAACTTCATCTGTCCTTTTACACACATGTACTCTACCTGACAAGCTGGATCAAGACCCATTTTTCTTCTGAGAAATTTTTCTACATGCCCAATAGTTGCTTCTCCTGAAACTCGGACAAACTTCTTCTCCAAGGGCTACATAAATAAACATAAATAAATATTTTCAGAACAAATATGCATAAAACATGTAAGTCAAAAAGCAAATTTTACAGCAAAGATGTTCAACAGACTTATGAAAAAAACTACTATGAACTTTGAGTTAATTTACCTATCAAGGAAAAAAAAAAGAATTTTTGCTTAGCTTGCCCTCTCTGAAAAGCACATCAATAACTTTTTTTTTTTTTTAAAGATTTTATTTATTTGACAGAGAGAGACACAGCGAGAGAGGGAACACAAGCAGGGGGAGTGGGA